CAAGCCTGCGCACCCCAGGACCCTCAGGACTCGGAGGTGGGGGCCTCTGGTGTCGCCCCTCGGCTGGCCTCCTTTATTTACATGTATTGCAGTTATTTTATATGTAATTTATTTCCCAACGGCCCTTGGAGTCCTTGGGTGCGTTTTTCTGCCTCCACATCTGTTTTTGTTTATTGGTTTTCCAACCTGGGGCTCTGTGCTCCACCGACTGGCTGGTGGCTTCCCTGTTGAGAAAGTGTGTTGTCTGCCAGGCGCTAGGCGTTGTCGGCTCTGGCGGTCAAGTTTGGGTTTTGGCTAAATGGGGCCGCCGGGCTGGACAGTGAAGTGGAGCGACCGCGTCGGGAAGGGTGCATATTGTCTTGCCCCTGTAATAATTAGGTTTCCAAGAGGAGGCAACGCCTTCCTACAATCCCGACTTGAGCCAATTTTCTACCCTTTTAAGCAGCAAATCTTTATTCCAAGTAAAGTTCGTCAAAAGAGGATACATTTCGCGTACAATTTATTATTACAATGAAGGGAAAAATAGAGAAATTAAAATAAAATACTTAAAATAAAATAAAGTAAAAACTTAAATTATAAAAATAATAAATAATAATAAAACTTAATTTATAAGTATAAGACTTATTTTATACTATAAATATATATATAATATAATAATAAAATATACTATAAATATATTATATAATACATATAATTACATTTTAGTATTATTAAGTTCTGGATAATTACAAATAGACCAGTCGATCTTGTTTGTTCGTAGGTCAGTCTCCCAGCTTGAAGCTGCTTATCTGATATGAAGGCCATTTATTTAAAAATCCCGTGTTTTAAAATAGGATAAAAAATGCACACAGCTTTGTTCCGCTTAAATTGTTATTGCTGCCAGGTTGCATGCTATTATTGTTACGATTATTTCGTTTGTTTTATTAAAACATTTGCTCATTCATGAAAGCTTATAACTTTATTTGGGTGATCTTGTTCAGAGGGCTTAATTCAAAAATGTTTAATTTCCCCCATCCGCTGCTCATGAACAGTCAGTAGCTCCTCATATTCCCGTGAAGAAAAAAACACAACGGGAAAGGAAGACGATTGATTCCCCGGCACACTTCGTGCTCGTTAATCAATTAAAACATTTGTGAATTTCCATAAACAGTTTCGCCCCGCCCTGCCATAATTTGTACACCCGCCAGTCCCACTTGGCTTACATGGAAGCGTTCTGATCCCACATTCCGCCCCTTCCTCCTCCTCCCCTGTGAGGCGGCAAACAAAAATTGATTAAAACATCACGTAATCGCAAAGGCGTCGTCGTCATCGCATCCGAGCTGGGACTTGGCCCATGGGCGGCGCCAACGTCAAGTTGGGGATCTGAAATGGCATCTGCATATCATATAGAAATGCCATATATAGTCTGTGCTGGGATCTCCGGACTTCGGCGGAGCACCGCACGTACGCATGTGGTTTCGCTGGACTCTGGCCTATGCCGTTTGCATATGAATCCAAATCGTTTCAATTGAATTCTGCGAACTCGCAGTTGATTCATCTGACAGCCACTGCAGTGAATTCAAATCGAGCCAATTATCCATTGCCTATAGAAGATTCAGTCTATTACTGACCGCAGATACTAACGACAAATTGCGCATCGATGAGGTGGATGTGGAGCAAGTGACTCAGTGCGACCCGAGGAACCTGACATCTTATCAACGCGGACATAAATAAGGCAAGGGGACATGGACATGGACATCTGGCATTCGCGAATTCCGTGCCCGACCGTAATTCTTTCTTGCGGTCTTCATAAATTCCGTTTTTACATGCGGCCCAGTGTCAGTGGCCTTGGCTTTGGGCCTGCCCAACACGTCTCTGGGCCAACTGGACCGTCCAAATATGCTTAATGACTTGTTTGTGTGCTGGATTTAATATAAATTATATTTTTGGCTGCCCGTGCGAGAAGCGAGTCTTCCCTGGAGAGCGCAAAAAGTAACCAGTTCGGTTTGCGAAGTGATTAAAATTTTATTCCAATGAATTTTTGTGCGCCGAAGCTGGCGATGCAATTGCTGAGGGCAATCCCCGGTGAATTATGGAGCAAGTTGGGGATTTTAAGCTGCCACTTCGCTTGCAGCCGGGACCTCATCCATCATGGGAAATTGAACTTATCTCCAGTCGGCCTGGCCCTCCTCCCACGCAGCTCCCAATAGATTTCCATGCCCGAATACTCGTATCTGGGTCAGAGTGCTTGATTGATAGCAAATAAAGAGCGAATCGTTTGAATCAAGTCAAATCATATTCTTCTGAGCGGTACTGGGACATTTTAATTAGTCGTCTGCTCCTCTGCGGCTTCGACACAATTATTTAGCCCTAATTGGCCCAATTCAGGGACATTCGACTCGACACAATTGCGATTGTGCTGCGATGCCAAGTAAACAAGAGGTCTGTGCATCATTTAGATCAATCAATCAGCGGATTTGGGTAAACTCGGGTTCTGGCCCAGAAATATCCCACGCATGAATCAACCCAGAAGCAGCGAAAAGGTTGCCCGTAAAACATACGAATTAATTTGCAATGAAAATGTGCGAAAAGATGTAAATGGCCGGGATTTGCGGTAAAAAATTGACCAAAGCATAAGTTTAACGGCGCGGCTACGAAATATGTTGTCAAATAAATAACCATCCCACCACACCGAATAAAAAGCCGAGCAGGAGCCGTGCATGTGAGGGACTCCATCAGCTGCATACTTGGAAATAAATGTGGAGTAGTTAGTTCTGCTCAACCCCAGACGAAAACAGGAAATGTAAGGAATTGCTTTGGGCTGCCGAATGGTTGGCGCTCTGAACCTGAAAGCTGTCAGTCGATCGCTATTTCATGCAAAGTTCGAAAAAATCTCTCGAGCATGTTTATGAAAATGCTACCGGAAATCGATTGTCTGTCAGGCCACCAGGACGAGGAATGGCGTTGGCTAGTAGCTTCCTCATGCCCTCGTAAATTATGCAAATAAGTCAACACTGGCGAGAGGATGTGTGTGCGTCTGCTGGAAAAGTTTCCCCGACGGACCACAAATGAATCATATGCCAAAAGGCATTTGAAGGCCTCAAGCCATTGTAATGGGGCCTTTGGGTCCTCCTCCAGCCCATCATCCGTCCTCCTCGCCATGTCAGCGCCAACATGACGCTGGGAAATGCATGTTGGAGCAGGGAAAGTTTTGTGCTCAAGTCTGAGCGCTGTCAATTTCAGTTTCCGTCTCCGCCTCCGCCTCCGTCTCCATCTCCATCTCCGTCCGTATGCGAGACGATTTTCCCAGATTTTCCCAAGAAGCAACATTTGTCTTTCTTGCAGTTTGGCTGTGATCAAAGAACCGAGACCTGCTTACCCTTCATAATACTTCATAAGTTACAGGGTGGGACCGCATGCCGAGACTCACCTGCAAGGACAGAGATAAAGGATATTAAAGGGAGATAGAAAGAGAGAGAGAGTGAGAGAGAAAGAGCTTTCTAATGCCTAATCTAATACCTAATCCCTGGCCACAGCCCGACTTACATCGGGCTTAATTAACGAAGGAGGCGTGCTGGAAGGGCGGACTCAACTTAACCGGAACACAACTTAAGCGCATAAATTATAGCCTGAGCTCGGACTTAGGAATGCTAATGATGTCCTCCAGCTGTCCTTTCTCCACTCGTGGCCCGGCTAATAATGCTTTTGCATATAATCAAGTAGCCCATGCATGACCTATCCATGGCAACATCTCGGGCTCCTCGATCCGTGTTCTTGGGAGGCTCACGGTGCTAATCCAACGACTTGACTGCCATTACACAGGACACTGGAGTCGGAGTCCTGGTGGGGGGAAAAAAACGTTCATTTGCTCAATCGTGCACTCGAAAATGTCAATTTACATTTGCGGACTGGTTGGCAACGCATTTTCCCCCGAGAGGCAATCGGGCCCCAGCCAGCTTAAGTTGACTTTAACGCCTCAATGCATCCAACTAGAAGGCCCAGATGGAGGCGGAGGAGGCGGAGGCCAAGGGAAATGCAAAGGCATTCCATATAGGAGAAAGTTTTTGTGTGTGCAACAGGGAAAAAAGGAAAACTTTTTATTAAAGTCAGCTGAAATGGGTGGAACTCGTTTCGGTTTCGGATTTCAATGCTTCCAGAAACTAGCCCCAGTGCTCCACGTTCTGTCAGCCATCCTCCTTCCACGCCCCTTACACTTGCTGTGCGTCTGTGTGTGTGTTTGACAATGTGGGCGTGGCTCTCGGCTCTCGGCTCTGTCTGTTGCTTTGGTCAAGTTAATTTGTATGTGTGGCCGTAAACTTTTGCCGGCTTAGACTCTCCAACGCACTGGCCAGTGGGCGGCCAGGACGGATGGATGCTGCCGCCACGGAGATTTGGACGGTTGGGTGCGGGTCGGAAAGTTCCCCCGATATCTCAAATGTCCAGTTTGGGGCTCCGACCGAAATGTGTGAATTTTGTTGGCTTATTGCTTTTCTATGCCGCATAATTGCTGACTTCTTTCACACATTCGCACACATCATTGGAGCGGCATGGACTGGGCTCTACTGGTCTGGCGAGGAAGGGACCGATTTGGGTGGGACTAAGCATGTTTGTCCTTGGACAAGGCGCATAAATCATTGGGGGCTGCCGCAGAGCTCCGAAATTTATGCTTGGTTGCATTTTTGATGTCCGGGACTTAGGACGAGCCCGTCCTCGACTGTTTAAATGCTCGCCCAGTGGGCAGGGAAGATAAGAATGCTGGTGTGCTGTGGCAGTCAGAGCAAATCAAGAGAAAAGCTTCCGGAAAGCGTATTTCAATTCTGAGCTGTCGGATGCCTACACCCGCTATCTCTATTTGGGCTCTGAACTCCAGCAGAGCCAACCAATTGATTTTCAGTTTGGCGCTTTACAGCGGGTTGCATGGCTACTTCATGGCCACCAAGGTTACTGCCGCTTGCTACCCAAACAAGTTGTCCCAGCAACGCGAATCGAGTTCAGTTTCCCCCGTGGCATCACTCAGTGCAGCTCGAATCCTGATTCAGGATAAGGTTCCCAGACACGGCTTTTTTGAACCCTAGTAACTAGTTTCCTCTAACAAGGATGCCCTGCTTTTCCGCCTCCAATGTGCGATTCGTCAGCGCAGAATCTCAGGTGCAACAAAGGTGCAATGAGCTGAGAGCCAGGGCACGAGCCCAAACGGCAGCCTATCGCCCGCCCGTGGCATCCTTTGGGTGCTTCAGGAGACCACTCTGTGACCAGTCGGTGGCCTATGACCAGAAGCAACTGAAGCGCAATGAACGCGACCGAAAGCGCAATGAGGGCACAAAACAGGTGGTGCTCCGTGCCGGGGAGCTTCGTCGTCTCAAGGATCAGGGACAGCTAGAGACCGTGAGCGAGAAGCTGCAGAGGATTGAGCAGCAGGAGGAGGAGCACCGCAAGCAGCTGCAGATGGTGGAGGAGACGCGACGCCGCTTCAAGGCCATCGATGAAGCCAAAGGAGTGGGCTCCCTCGCGTCCGAGGGCAGAACCACCCTGCTCAGCGAGATGCTGGAGGAAAAGCAGTCGGTGCTCAGCCGCGCCTTTCTCGCCCGCCAAGAGCAGGAGCAGGAGGTGAAGCAGATCAACCGCATGATCCTCGACGCGAAATGCAAAGCTGTGCGGGAAGCGCAGATCCATGAGAAGCACCTGCTATCCAAGGCTCTTCGCGAGGACGATGAGCGACTGGCACGCATGGTCAACGAACGGGCCCAGAAAGCGCTGACCGAAGAGGATGAGCGCGAGCGCCTGGAGGTGGAGAGGCGGAACCGCTACGCCAAGGAGATCCGGCAGCAGCTCTCAGAGCGCGAGAACGTGCGCTACTTGGAGGCCAAGCGGGTGGCCGACGAGGCCAAGGACATTCGACGCGCCACCGAGCTCTTGCGCAGCCAGGAGGAGCAGCAGCGGGCCTTTGTCCAACTGCGCAAGCAAAGGTTCCGGGAGGAGCTGCAGCGCATCCGGGACATGTCCAACGTCTTTAAGGCGATGCTTAGCGAACAGGAACGCTTGGCTGACCTGCGTGTCACCGCCTACATGCGCGATAAGCAGGAGAAGGAGCGCCAGCTAAAGGAAATGCAACGCTTGGTCAAAAAGGAGTTCGAGCGCCGCCAGCAGCGCATCTTCACGGTAGCCGCCGAGGCCATGGAGACGCGCCAGACCAACGACGAGCTCAAGTATCTCAAGGAGCGGGACCGCGTGGAGCGCGAGTACCGCCAGCGGGAGAAGGAGGCGGCAATAGCGCGCCGGGAGGCGGAGCGCGACCTGCTCGAAGCGCGGGCGCAGCAGGCTCAGGAGATGAAGCAGCGCCTGGCCCTGGAGATCGCCCACGCCGGGGAGGAGTTCGCCAAGGTCATGAATCGGATGCGCGAGGAGGAGGAGAAGCAGAAGGTCTTGGATCGCCAGCGGGACGCTCAGCGGCAGGTGTACCGCCAGGATCTGCGCCAGCAGATGACGGACAAGCAGTCGGAGCGCCGCCGTCTGGCCGAGCTGGAAGCCGGAAGGGTGCAGAAGTGGCTTGACCAGGAGAAGCAGCGGGACGCCAACATCCAGCAGGTGATAAGCGCCAAGATCGCGGCTATGCGCGAGAATTGCCTACCGGAGAAGTATCTGCGGGAAGTGGAAAAGCAGCTGAAGAACATCCAAAGCTCCCGCAACCGCATCCGCTGAGGAGAGCCTAATCTCACAGGTGGTTGCCTAGTGTCGGGCGCTCTTTGAATGCCGGCAGTTGGGTCCAAGCTGCGCCTCAAAGTATGCTATTAGTTCTAGTACTGAAAGGTTTCGAAATAAAACAAAATACACTTGAAAGCGGGAGCAGCTAGCTCATCTACTATAGAGATATATATCCACTATAGAGATCTAAGAGGTTCGAAGTTCGAAGTCGATTTACAGCCCAAGAGTATGCCGTTAAATTGGCAGGCAAAGTAACTGGCGCATTGAAATCAAAGAACCGCCATGATGACGAAGCGACATTGTTGCGCGTGCGGTGGAAGGTCCGCCCACACATCACGCTAATTTCCAACTATGTGGGCGTTTGGCCACCACCCCCCAGCAACCCACTTTCCCCGCGGGTGGGCACAAACAATTACGGGTGAGCGGGAGTGGGTGGGGAAAAACTACTGCCTGGGTGCCATGGAAAAAGTGGTAGCCAACTTTTGGCTACAATAAAATTTTATTATGCCACACACATACGCTGCGCGTACACAAGCAAACAATGGAAAGACGCCGACGAAGATGGAGCTGGAGATGGAGCTTGAGCGAAGACGCCACCGCTAGCGACAACGGCAACGACCAACTCTTGTGCATGGTTCAATTATCGTATTTCATGATTCGTTAAATTTTCGCATACGCCAAAAAAATACCCAAGATAAGGCACACCCTCCCACCCACCGCCACCCACTGCCACCCAGCAGGCTGCAGGCGAGGAAAAGCCGCGGCGAGGAACAGGTTTCCCCTGGCAACCATAGAGATTCCTACCTACGACTAGTCGGAGACCCGCAGAGGGGCTATGAGCCCGAGCCAAGCCGAGCTGAACATGAACCTGGGCCTGGGATTGCCTGCCACTCGCATATGGCAGTAATAATTCCAATGACAATAAACGTTGTCGTATTTACAAGTACCAACACACACGCTTCCACACACGCTTACACACACACCCTGACGTGAATTGATGAGAAAAGTTTTGAGGAAATGTCAATAGAGAAGCGGAGACAAACTATGCTCCGCCGTACGAGGGAGTCTGCACAAACCGTGGTACGAGAGCTGAAAGCCGGAGGAAGCTTGCAGGTCGCCCACACGGAGGTCAAAGGCATTATTCCGCCTTTGAGGTGCACTTTAGGTAGTTAAAAATATATAATAATATATTATAATTAAACTAAACAGAACCTGATCCCTTTGGACTCACTGATATCTTCCACAGCTTAATAGGCCATTTCCCACGGTGCCTGTCGCGGCATCTTTGGCATTTATAAATATCGTGCTGGCAAAAAGGTAAAAGCCAAAATATCGATATTGTAATTGGAAAGAAGTCGACGCAGCTGCCTTAGTGTGCACTGCATTCCTCGCATCGCTCCTCCGCCGTTCTGCTCCCATCAAAATTTATCTGCAAGATTGCACACAATTGTTTTGTATTAGCAGAGTGATTCCATTCCGCAGTTCGCTCCAGTTCGGCTGCCTTCCTTGGGCACTCTATAGTTCGGCAGTGGGGGGCAGGGACGCGCTGCCTCCTGGCTGATATGTGTGCTTAAAATAAATTGCTCGGCTTTAGTTTTGCGTCTTATTCCTATGGTTTTCCTTTGTAGTTGCAGCTCGGTTTTCCGCCACTTTCCCTACCCGTTTCCTTTCTGTACGAGTACACTCATAGGTAGTTCAAAGCGGCGCAAGACAGATGAGCGAAGTGGTTTTGGTATCTACATCTGCGGAAAGAGCTTCCTCCATATCTAGGTGACCGGGTAATGGGTCTCAATTGCGCCTCAAATTTAAGGGATCAATCGTGCGTCCGTTTGCATGTCAACGCGCGGTATGAGCGGAAAAACGAAATTGAAATGGAAAATCAATATAATGAGGAAGCCGCTTGATTGGACCGCTGCGGAGGTGTCGCTGCAAAATGGATTTGTGGAGGTCACCGGCAGGAAACTGCGCATCGCGCAGCAGACTGAGAATTATAAATAGACCAAATTTGGCTTAATTGGACAAGGCAAATCAATGGAAAACTGGAATAAATGGAAATCAATGGGGAAAATGGTCTAAAATTAAACACCGCAATCAAGGATAGCGCTATTGATTGATGGCCCACCGATGCTATCTGCGCCATCTGGAGAACCTCTTCGCCCCTTAACCTTCTAATCCGACCGATAAGGAGGAGCGTGCACCTGCCGACGGTGGCGCCTACTTGCCCCGACCCCTCCCAAGAGCATTCTATCAGTTGAGCCCTGCCAATTTAAGCCTTTGTGACTATTCCTGCAGGTATGTGGGCGAACGTCTGTGCGATTATGAAATACATGGGTCCGATTAGATACGCGACACGCTTGGGACACATACAATTAGTCGGGCCAAGAATGTTTATTTCGTTTAGCTCGATAGGGAAGGTGTTGTTCTGGTGGTATTATGACCACAATTACATATTTATTTGTCTTTCTACCCGATAGGGTGCCTTATCAAGCCTTTGTTTAGATACAATCTAGCCTTCTTCGGCAAAGGGGTTTCCTGGAAAAAAATGTGGTGCACTGGAAACCCCACGGAATCGAAAACTTAAACATTCCACCTCGTAAATCACTTGGGCAATAAACATTTATTCAGCCTGCAGAGCAAGCACTTAGAGTAAGCCTTAAAATCTGTCGGTAGCCAAACATAATTAACATACAACAAATAATAAAATTAAACTCGACTTAATCGATTTGGTCATAAATCCGGCTCCTCGCCTCCAGCCTCCCAACCGAGTGTTTCGGAGTCTGTCCAGCTACAGCGCGGCATTTATTATTATTTATTATTTTTATGCACTATCAGCCGCAGCAGTCAGCGCCGCTGCCCAGAGATTGTCGCAGCTGATTGGGTCTGGAGCGGAGCTCCACGTTGGCGGGCTGGCCACTTCAAAAGCGGCAGCGACGACTGCGTCAATGCGGCATTGTTTACAAACAAACAAGTGGCTAGCTCAGAGCCAGTAGCTCCTCCGATATACTCGCACTGCCGCTCGATCCGGCCTTGCAATATCAGCGGCAAATACTTTTGGCGAGATACTCCCGCGCAGCCGAAATTCTCGGGATCATGATCACCGTGGGGCAACAAGCTGTCGGATTGGCAGCGGAGTTGCACAACCGATCGATCGCTTAGGATTTCGAAAGGCGCCGCGGAGTGTGGGGGTGGACAGGGGCATATCAGGTAAAGAGTGCGCCGCGCGCTTATCACATACTTCTGTTTGTTTCGATTTCTAAATGGAAAAATAGTCGAAATAGCAGCCGCCAGGCGATAAGCCTGATTATTTCCCGTGCGCCACATTTCCAGCTTAGTGTCTCAGACGACGTGGGTCAGATCTGTGGGCGGAGTGGCGGGGCGCGACCTTTGCGGCTTGTACGCCTCCTCGTCGTCGTCCTCGTCCTCTGCGTGCGAGTTCTGCGAGTCCTGGGAGTCGTGCGAGTCCTTGGAGTCCCTGGAGTCCCTGGAGTCCCCGAAGTCCTCCACATCCGAGTCCTGGATGTCCTCCAGCGGCGTCGTGGTGGTCATGGAAGCGGAGGCAGCTGCTCCCAGGAAGTGTACCTTAGCCGAGGCAGTGGAGTTATTGTTGTCCGCCATTAGCTGGTGGTGGCTGTAGTTCAGCGAGGGCGGGATTCTGGCTGTGGGGCGCCTCCGACGCCGCAACAGGTCACCTACGTAGGCGGCTGTGATGGTGGCATAGGTCACTCCGAGAAGGGCGCCGGCCAGGACGTCCGACCAGTGGTGCCAGTAGTCGGCCACGCGGCTGAGGGAAACGCAGAGCGCAGCCATAAGGAGCAGGAACTGCAGGACGTGCCGCAGGACCTGCACGCCGCCGCGCCCCCGCCACACCCCGTGTACGTAGAGGGCCAGCAGGACCATCGAGTAGAAGCTTAGGCTGCTGTGGGCACTGGGGAAGCTGACGTGCAGCTCGCGGATTTGTCGCGTGGAGAGGTTGTGGTTGGCGCAGTGGAACTGCTCCACGAACAGCTCCGCGTTCTGGGGGTCCGAGCAGGAGCTGCCATCATCGAGGCGCGGCTGGCAGCCGTGGTAGAAGTGCGGCCTCAGCCGCCCGACAGCGTGCTTGGCCAGCTCGGTTGTCAGGTAGGTGGCTATGAAGCCGAAGCTGAAGGTGGCCTCTGCGCGCCACAGATTGCGGAAGTAGAGTCTGGTGCGGAAGCGCTTGCAGATCCGCATGATCTCCACCACGGCCACAAAGAGCATGGGCAGCAGCAGCATCATGAGCAGCAGCATCGGCACCGTGATCGTGCAGTCCTTGTAGGGATACCGGATGCTCAGATCGGAGCAGAAGAAGCCCCGCTTGAATGTGTGCATGACTTCGGTGGCAATTTGGCTATTTGCGAGTGAGTTATGTATTTCAGCCGCGTTCTTATCGCGTGGGTTCAGGCCAATCCATTGACACTTGGCACTGGTTTTTGCGACAGCACATTTGTTTCTGCTTTTCACGCCCAGTATCTGCGGCCGGCCATTCGCTTATTCGTTTCACTTATTTTCGGCTTGTCCCGCAAATTGCGCACTTACTCGCCGGCCCGAGTCTGAGTTTTGCGAGTTTCGCTTTCGGGAAAAGCGCGCACGGGTTCAAAGGCGACTTTCTTCGCGGGAAATTAGCGAATCACGGCTAACAGCCGTCAGTCAACGTCTTTCGCAGGCCGTGAACCAATGGCAGCGGGCCCAGCGAACCACGAACGACCCGCTACTCCGTTTCGACGTCTTTGGGGCTCTGGGCCGCTCTGACGCTTTGTTTGGGATCGGCGGCGAATGTGCCTAGTTCGCTGCTGCTGGCTGCGACTGCGACTGCAACTGCAACTGCGACCGCGGAGGCGACTGAGAAGGCGACGATCGCTGCCGAGCTGCCGGTAGCGACTGCCGCGCGTCGCTCGCCTCTGTCCCGCTGGAGTGTCTGCGCTCCACGCTCTACGCTCCACGCTCCACGGTCTTCTGTCTACGTTCTACGGTCTTCGGAGCGGAGAACCCAAGCACAAGCCCACAAGCGCAGCGGCGAAGGTTCGCAGCGCTGTGAGCGATTCGCACTGATATTGGGTTTCAATGGTACTTGTGCTCCTGCTTATCGCGACCGCGCTGCTCGCAGCTCTCGGAAATACACTGTGAAAAATTTGCTGCAGTTTGATTTCACGGGAAAATCCGAGCAGCCCAGATGAGCGTGTTAAAGAATGCCCTTTTCAGGATTTAGATAAATAATTGTTTTCATGGGCTGAATCAGTAGCGAAAAAGGGCATAAAGGGGTTCCCAGTACGCCTCAATAAAGCCTTAAGAAAAAAAAAAAAAAAAAAAAAAATTCCTTAGGGCGATATACATTGTTATTTAAATTTACTTTGCATTAATTTGTGTAGGTCCTGGGCTCTCTTTTACTTAATCTAGTTTTCCGAAAAATCGGTACCACCACTCCCCTTTCTTGAAGTTTGGACCTACTGAACCTATTAGCAGTGCAGATACATCGCTTAGTGTAAGCGATTCTAGCAGGCTGCATAAGCATTTCCTTAAGTCCTACCAGCTGCACTGGTATCTGCCTAGGACTTGTTTGTTAAGTTGAAGTCCAGTGTACGCCTGCTCAGACCTTCTGCTCTTTTCGCCTGTTGGCTTAGGCACGAATGTTGCTAATGAGGAAACTATTGAATTGTTTCAGGGTTTGCTCTGCTCAGTTTGCTTAGGCTTGTTTGCCTGCGACTTGCCGTTTACGCATAATGAAAGAGTTGCAAGGCAGATGGATGCTGAGCCAAGATGGCAGATGGAGATGGAAGGTGGAAGTGCAGAGGAGTGAGTGGCGTGGAGGAGTTCCTTCGGCCGCCTGCGGTGGCCAGAGGAGTAGGTCACTCCAACGAGACTTAAAACGGCTTGCTGATCCGCTGCGTGCCTTTGAAGCATTTGTATTGATGTAGGTCGTTGCTCGGACCCCAGTGAGTAAACGGACCTGGGCGGAGTGGACTCAGCGGTAATGGAGACGAGGGACGAGGGACGAGGGCCAGCTCTGGCCAGACCCACACTCCGAGTGCTGAGGCTGGAACTGAGGCTGGACTCGCAGTGCATAAACTGCAGCCAGTTTATGGCCACTTTGTATTTGCACTACGAATCGGACTTCTTTATGGCAATTTTCAACTGCTCAATTTACATCGAAATTGCTGTGCTTGCAACTATTTGCTGTTAATTTATGCTAATTTCGGGGTCCCACTGAAAGGAAATTACTCCAAGAGATCGCCAGACAATGGCCTCTGATCACGGATGCGAAAACATACGAGCCGAAAATAGGGAATACCAGTACAAATTGGGAAAACAATTAAAAATGAAAAAATTTATAGCAAATCGATATACGTTTGCAAGAGTAACGGCTATAAATATAGCTGTAGCTATAACGATTAACAACCATATCAAGCTGAGGAAATAAAATAAGTATTAGAAAAGAGTAAGCGCAATCAAACCTCTAAGCTACGGCCACAGGAAGGTCATGTGGTTAGTAACTGTAGGCTGATATCGTTACATAACGCAGAACTGTAGCCACTAAGTGGGGCGTACTGTAAGCTGATCTGTGCAGAAATCCGCCCCTTTCCCCAATCACCACAGTGCAAGATCGTATCAATGAACGACCACAGCACGCGCCAAAAACCGGTACGTTTGATCATTATTAAAGCCAACGCGACTTCTCCGAGAAGCTGACGGCTGATCGTAAGGTTTCCGATTTTATATGGCAGTGGGACCTCCTTTAGTGACACCTTCGACTGCGGCGACACTAGATCAAAATTTATTATTGACACAATTCGCTAAATACGCAGATCCACGGGTAAGCGTCAATTACACAACCCCCGCGATTTCCTGGGAACGAGTAAGTAGTCCAGACTAAGGTAAACAAGAAAATCTGACTCGGCACATGTACGGATAGGTTTCGGGTTTCGCGAACCAAAGAAGTGCTTCCTGTCCAGCAACAAAGTGCAAGCTGCTGAATTGAATAACCTGTGTTTTTGTTTCGCTGCCGCTTGCAATTCTCCAAGCCGCCGCTGATAAGAAATGTGTAAGAATCGGCTCGGCGAGGTGTGAGCGTGAAATCGCGATGCCCAGCTGATAGTGAATCGCACCCAAATGGGCGGGAGTGCTGCGACGCAGTTTGCAATGCGATTCGACTCGATCCGATCCGATCCGATAAAGATTCCAACGCAATGCCCCTCCCGAGGGATACACTTGGCATTGGCATTCCGCGATTAGGGGAAATCTGTTTGCGTTGCGACAATGGACTGCTGTTGACACTACGCAAACGCCAAAGCCAAAGGAAAGGGTTTTCGGACCCTAGTTTATTTGCTGCCCGGGATTTGCCTATCGGCTCAATTGTTGAATGTCCAACGGCAGTTAGCTGAACACAAGTTAGTGATTCGAAGTTAATGACTCGGACAGGAAGTGCGATTTATCAGACAGGTGACAAACTGCTTCAAACTGCCACTGATAAGTGGGGGTTAATAACCAGACCTGACGTTTCCAGACCGACTCGATGAGGGAGCAATAATAACTTGCCGCAAATCCCCTCAAGGTTGCGAACCTATCACAACGCCAAGTCTCTGTGGGTTGAGCAATTTAACCGAGATCGACTTGAATTGATTTTAATTCCTTACACGTGCAATGCACCCAAGCGATTGAGATCCATAAACCCATTTTGCAGAATTCTTGCACTGATTAACCGCTTAAGACCCAACTACCAGTAATTACTCATGATTTGATACGCATGCATTCCATTGAGTCAGCACATTTTCGTTGAAGCAGAATGTTTTGATAATACCTTCGATACATTTACTGATTCCTTGAAAAGTATGTAACAGGTAGAAGGAAGCGTCTCCGGCCGTATAAAATATATACATTCTAGGTCGGGATCAATAGCCGAGTCGTGCTGGCTGTCCGTACGTCTGTCCGTTCGTCTGTCCGTTACTTCTGTCCGTACGTCTGTCCGTCCGTCAGTATGAACCCCTCGATCTCAGGAACTACAAAAGCTACAATGTTGCGATTAGGCATTCCAGAGATATAGACGCAGTGCAAGTTTGTTTCTAAATGCTGCCACGCCTACTCCAACGCCCACACTTTTGAAAAGTTTTAAATTTTTAGCTGAGGAACGGGTATCTGATAGTCGGCGAACTCGACTATAGCAGTTCTCTTGTTTTTTTTTTTATAAATTTGTGTTCTGAGCATCTGATTTTGTTAAAACTGGCAAGCGGTTACAAACAGACTACTATTGATTAGAAATACCATTTAGCAATGAACTTGAACTAAGCTCACTAGGCTGGAGTCGAGTTCCTTGACTATCAGATACCCGTTACTCAGCGAGAAAGAAGTTGCAATATTTTTTGGCATATCGATGGACACATTTTAAAAGTGGGCGATTTCGGAGAATCCGGGCAGATGGGCGTGGCCAGATCGACTCGGTTAGTGATACTCAACAAAAATGTATGCACTTCATAGCGAAACGGCTGCCTTGTACCTTCAACAAGTATTCAAACGCTGTGATCGGTTGCCCTTCTGACTTGTCGACCATCAAATAATTGTTTAGGCCATATTTACCGAAGATTTGAATTATCTATGAATTATTCAAATCTGGTATGACAAAGTTAGGTGTTTGTTTGCGCTCCAATCGCATTATAATAATGACTAAATTACCAGACACATACCAAAAATACATTTTTAATAAACATCTAATAAAGTTTGGAGCTGGGTGTTAATTTTACAAGCTAACGAACCGCATCGCCACCCGCTTTTGGCCCGCTCCAGCCCTGTATGTTGGTCGTTTCAATTAGCAATCCCATAAAGATTAGCCACGAACAGAATCTCAAAGCCAGGTGGTTCCCCTCGTTAATCGCCGATCGAGCAGAAGCTTTAAGCTTTTGCCATAAGATACCTCACACCAGAGGCGTCAAAGCCACCTGAGGAATGCACATCCGACTGGACGACGTCACAGAACAGGTGTGGAGTCACCTGCAACCATCTTGCCACCGAGCCCCTCCCTCGGCTTGTCCTGCGGTGGGATCGAAGCCGCGGAACGGTGAGTCACTGGCCGAGATATGCCTAAAAGTGAAAATTCCCAGCTTCAACTGGGCCCAGCTCAGCGCCAATCGATGGGCGACTCACACTCGTTGGAGCAATTAACCAGCGGCAGGCCGAAATTACCACACTTGAGTGGTGCCCATCGTGGGTCCAGTGGGTTTTTCAGCCTTTCTTGTGTCGGTTCCACTTGCTGCCCACTAGGAAATTATGCACACGCACCGAAAAGAGCACGGTCTGCGGCGAAAGGCGAGAACCGACGACTCCCTCCGAAGAAACCAGTTTGCAGCTTACCACCTCTCTTCTGGCGGAGTCTTGTCTTTTCGCCAAGATTTTCTCCTGGCTCATCGGCATTAAGTGAAACCAGTTCCTCGGTCTCAGTAAACAATGGAGTGCGGAGTGGGTGTTGCACTCGGCATCTGCTTACGAGTGAGTAAATTATGAGTTTTGCTTATAGAATATGAGTGCTCAAGGAGCTTCCATTTCTGGTGGCTCTGCACAGCGAGAGTTTTCGCAACCCACCTAGAACTTGATTGCCCTTTGTGTGTCAATTAGTCAAATGTTTTCGTTTTCCGTGCTGTCGGCGCAGTGGAAGACTGACTCGCGCGTAATTAAAAAAAGCAAACAACCATCAAATGTTTGTGGCATGTCGGCGGATGGGAAGCTCCGCCGTTGCCCGGCAACACCAACAACAAGAACAACAAGAACACCAATAACAGCAGCAGATGTTCGAATAGACTCACGCACCAGCCAACAGACCGCAAATCGCTGCGAGAGAGAGGCCCCAGAAATCACGGCCAGGTTGGGCGACTCACCAGCCGCACTCGGTTAGTTAAGCGCGGTTTGCCAGTCGGTCGAGTCGAGTCGATAGTCGATCTGCTGTTCGGGCGCTACGTGAATCCCAGTCATGTCCAAGTACTCAAAGCTGGCCCGCGGGCTCTGCGACCTGCTGATCTGGGCGGCGCTCAGCGTGGCCAGTGTGCTGATCCACAAGATGGGGCGTCCCTTGCGGCGCGGCTTCTTCTGTGGCGACGAGTCCCTCAGCTATCCGGCCCGCGACGACACCATCGGCTCCAAGGTGGTCATCGCCATTGCTCTCGGAGTGCCCACCGCCGTGATCGCGGTGGTGGAGCTGTTTAGGCAGCTGCCTGGCGGCCCGCTGAGGGAGGCGGGCGGCGGAGGCAAGCGGGATAGCTGCCGGATCGCCCACCGTCTGGGCGTGCTGTACCGCCAGGCCATCTTCTACCTGTACGGCCTGGCCATGGTCACGTTCACCACGATGCTGACGAAAATGTGCCTCGGACGCCTGCGCCCGCACTTCTTCGCTGTGTGCCAGCCCATGCTGCCGGACGGAAGCGGCTGCCAGGACAGCCAGAACCTGGGACGCTACATCGACAGCTTCACGTGCAGCAACGCCAACATGACCGAGCACCAGTTCCAGCAGCTCTACCAGTCCTTCCCCAGCGGGCACGCCAGCCTGACCATGTATGCTATGCTCTACCTGGCCATCTACCTGCAGGCGGCGCTCAGTACGCGCGTCTCCAAGCTGCTAAAGCATCTGCTGCAGTTCCTCTTCGTCATGTTCGGCTGGTACGTCTCGCTGACCCGGATCATGGACTACCACCACCACTGGAGCGACGTCTTAGCGGGGGCGGCACTGGGCGTGGTGTTCGCCTGGCTGACGAGTGCCTTCGTGGCTGACCTGTTTGCCGGCAAGCGCTGGCCAAAGGCTGGCTACTCGGCCAACACGCTGCGCAAGCCGCAGGTCTCACCGAAGAGCTCCACCAAGTCGCAGACTGGAGGATCCACGTCGGGAGCGGGCCAGCCGCCCGCCCTGCCGGCCTATACCTTCGGAACCCTGCCCTATCTGGCGGCGCATCCCGCCCAGGCGCAGTACGCCCAGCCCTATCACAACTACGGCTACGTGCCCTGAGCCAGGTTCCGGATTTCATTAGCAAAACTAGCTTAGGAATGCCCACAAACATACACACACTCACAAATTAAGACTTGCACGGAATTCCTGTTTTGTTGTCTGTATTCTAGCGATATAAATATATTCAAGTTCGATTCAAACACCCATCTCGTTTCAGTCGGTGGATTGGCTAAAGGTCTGTGGGAATAGAAAGTGTTTATCGATGGACACATGATGGCTAACCTCGCATACTTTCGAATCTTCATATTGCCATTGAGGAGATCCGGAGCTTGGGCTTACCTGCAAAAGGAAAAAGAACAGAGGGGCATTGATTAATATTCACAAACTCACATTCCGATGATATTACAGCAGATATATTCTGGGAAAAAACAATTCAATGGCAAATAGGTTTCTAAATTTACAGCTACTCTTGCTTTTGTCTGAAGATTCACAATGAGTTAAGATCACGCTGCCTCGATTGGGACAATCCAAGAAATTAATGTTTGCAAATTTTGCAAATAAAACTTAAGAAAATGTAAATTATTTTCATTTAAATACTTATAAACAACATTCCACGCTATTAAGACTTTAACTGCGAAGCTAATATACAATTTTTTGTGTTTAACTTGAGATCAGATAACCCGCAAGTAATTAAGTTCATTATGCTTGAGGGATACATAATCAATTCAAAACAAGATAGAATGCTATAGTCGAGTTCCCGACTATCAGATACCCGTTACACAGCTAGTGGAAGTGCAAGCGAGAAATTTCAAAATTTTCTGGAATATCGGTAGAAATTGGGGAAAAAATAATAAAATGAAAAATAACATTAAAATTTTTTAAAGATCTCAAGCGTTTTGAGCAGTTTGTGGGCGTGGCAAAAAGTTTTTTAGCACATCTGTAGAAATTTTTATATAAAAAAGTGAAAAAATATCACAACATTTTTTAATAGTGTGGGCGTAACAGTTTTGGGCGGCTTGTGGGCGTTCGAGTGGGCGTGGCAACATTTGGAAATAAACTTGCGCTGCGTCTATGTCTCTGGAAGCTGCAGGCTTAATCTCAAAACTAGCTTTTCTAGTTCCTGAGATTAATTCGTTCATACGGACAGACGGACGGACATGGCCAGATCGACTCGGCTGTTGATCCTGACCAGGAATATATATGTTCGGAAACGATGCCTTCTGCCTGTTACATACATATTATCTGCCTGTTCATACATATATATTATTATTACATATCTGTTACATATCTAGTTACGAATGTAGTATACCCCTTTACTCTACGAGCAACGGGTATAAAAATGTGCAATAGATCCTTGAAAACTTAAAAGCACCCACAAACTTAGGTGAATGCTTTAAAAGACCTAAAGATTTTGAACTGGGCTAACTTTTTCCGATTATAGAATAAATTATCAGAGTCTTAGCATACTTGACCATTCGATAGTCGAATGAGACCCACCGCCCGATCGGAGGAAAGGCAAGACAAAGGTTTGTGAAACAAGTTTACATGTTTAGTAATCTCCAGCACCGCTGGACTAATAGAAATGCAAATGAGCTCGAACCAGGTCGAAAGAATCCGACGGCTTCGACCCCTCTATCTTCAGTGTGAAAATGTGCGGCAATCCGAACACGCGTCTCCTCTCCCGGTTGGTCATTGACTTCCTGATTCTCCTGGGAATCTATGGAGCGGCCCTGGTGGTGCTGCCTCTGCACCTGCCCACCGCGCAGCGGGGATTCCACTGCAGCGACACCAGCCTGAAGTATCCCTATCGCCAGCCCTGGCTGACCAAGGTCCACCTTACGATCGCAGTGGTGGTCCTGCCCGCCGCGTTTGTGCTCGTGGTGGAGATGCTCACGGCCGCTGTGGTGCCCAGCTCCACGGAGCTGAAGCAGCGCTTCGTCTTCGTCGGGGTCCGCATCCCCAGATTCATCAGCGAGTGCTACAAGGCCATTGGCGTCTACCTGTTTGGTCTGGGACTGACCTTGGTGGCGATTCGGCTGACTAAGCACTCGACCGGCCGACTGAGGCCCTACTTCTTCGATGTCTGCCAGCCCAGGTGGGGCGAGATGGGCGAAAGCTGCTCCGACCTGACCGCGGAGAACTCCACGTTCTATCTCGAAGGCTTCAGCTGCACGGAGTTCGCCGCCTCGCAGGATCTGCTCGCCCTGGTGCGCCACTCCTTCCCCAGCGGGTTCGTGTCCACCACTTGCTACGCCATGGGCTTTCTGGTTTTCTATGCCCAGGCCAGACTTTTTGCTCCCTGGCTGCGCTTGGTGCGGGCCTCCCTGCAACTGGCGTTTGGCTCGCTGGCCTTGGTTGTCTGTTGGGAGCGCATCTCCACCTACCAGAACCACTTAACGGATGTGGCAGCCGGAGCTGCACTTGGTGCGTGGATGGCCTTCTTTGCCACGGTGTTTGTGGCCCACCTGTTTGTGGAGACGCGAGTAAAACGCCGTCCGATGCCAAGAAATGAACAGATCTACGGCTATGCGGGGTACTACACCAGAGCCACTTACGGCTACTGATCCTCGACGTGTTGGCTTTCCTAGAATTAGCTAATAAAAGTATTGTTTTATAAGAAGTGCGCCAAATCTTGGTAACTGGGCTGTTCCGATGCAAATTTCTCTATTATAATCAAAGTCTCAACTTAAGGATCCTAATAAGCGTAGTTCCAAAAGTTACATTTTTGTACGTCAAATAATAAGCTACACACTAGTGGGCTCAAACGCTTTTTAGGAATGGAACGTACGATTAATACTGACGTAAAGTCGGTTTCCAAGCGAAACAATTGCAATTAACAATGTGGCCTCTGTACACTCCAATGTCCAAATTCTATATGGAGCTGGACCGATATGCCCAACATATTATCCAAACCTTTTAAGATCGAGTCTATCCGAATCCGGTAAACAACTTTCAAGTGCAACTGGTAATGCTCAGATTCGACATAGCCGTGTTCCGAACCCCCGCCGCTTACGATCCACTCAGCGATTTGGTGGCGATCGCAACCTTCCCATGTGGGAGCTGACTGACCACCGTCCACAGGCGCCTCTCTCTGCTCTCGCTGCCGTGGGCCAACCTAAGGGGTTTCTCCCGCTCTTTCGATGCGTTCGCCGGTACAAGAAGCGCTCCATAGATTTGTTTACAAAGTCTGGTTCCATTCAGTCGCAACCGAGAAGCGGCGCCTGGCAGTTTGGAGATCGGGTTCGAACGGGTTCCAGAAGTCGCTTGGCAGCGTCGTTAAACAATTAAATTGCCGTAAAGGTGAATAGTTATTTAATTAAACGGTGCAGTAGGTCGTAGTGGCAATAAAACCAGAAACGTGATGACATACAGTCAAGCAGCAATCGGGAAGGATTAGTAGCCTGGAGCTTCTTGAATCGTGGAGCTCTAAGTTTACAGGGCACTTTCAAGTACCAGCATGCCGTACTAGAAGAAGTAGCTCCGCAGAGGCGCCATGGAGCCCTTGTCCGCGCTTCAACAAGCATACGCTTCAAATGAATATGCTCAGTATGGGCAGTGGTAATTGTGGGAGGGGCAGCGATGCATACTCACCAAGGCAGGCCGCCTTAATTCAATCAAATGTCGCTTATTCATTCAATTAAAGGTCGCGCCATTTGACGTCCGACTGTGAATGCGTCTGTGAATATGTGAATACAAATATCAAAGCGAGTGTGTGTGCCCCAAGCTAAGACGGCGACTCTGGGGATGATTCCAAATCATCTGCCCGCTTTGACTGTTTTCCATTTTTTAATGTAATTGACAGCCCAACAGGGATGTCATAGAGTTCAGAGTCTCGGAAGCAGCAAAGGGGCCACAATGGGGGCCATTCTTGGCGGAGATTAGCCAGTGGTCGCTCCATCCAAGCGCGGCTGACAGTCTACGTTCCAGATAATGCAAATCTCGCGGAGACGCGCCTATTCGACGGCTGGCTGCCCTAGCACAATAGTATGCCATTTAATGGCTAACCTGTGAGTCACTCGTAAGGAAATGCTTGTTAACCCGGCCTTATCGATGTTCTGCCGCTCCTTCCAATCTTGCCAAGGCGTAGAAGCCGCTTCGCAGATATCGAAAAGATTGCGACAGAGCCACTGAGCAATCGCAAAAGACGCTAAATTGCACGCTTTCACGACAATTTGTCTTATCAAACTGATCTTGAGCTTGTTTGAGCAGTACACTGGGCGGAATCGGGGTCAAGGGAAATGTCATTTACAAATACTGCAAATTATTATGTTAATATTTATTAAATTATTAATTATTAAGGCGCGGTGATCCGCCTCCTGATCAATATTCGTTTTGGACTGATTTGAAGTTTTAACCGATGCGATCTTTTATTTCAGTGCTTCTGGCTCTTGTCTAATCTGGCAAACGGAGAACCGCAGCAATAACTAGATCACCGTAGACGGCTAACTACCATAAAATAGGCTGTAAACAAACTGCTCTGACGCAGAGCAGTGAAAAACAAGAGCGCGCTGGGGAGCCAAAAACAATGCCGAGCATCGGGAGAGTTCCGCCTATTAAATGAGCGTTAAATTAAAAGAACGTTACCCAAACGACGCCAACTCAGTCAGCCACTGACAACGAACCCGACGAAACCAGCGACGCGACGGAAAAACAGCCAAACCAATCGAAAAGCTAATTACCAGCAGGCAGAAAGGCCATTCGGAATATTAACTAATTAAGCCAGTGAAATGCGCGACGCGCCCGGAGATCAGTCAGAAACAGTCTCCATGCCGGCATCTGTAACCGCCTCTGCCGCCGGCTCCACCGGACCGCCTTCTCATCGCCGGATGACGCGGCGCCTGCTCGTGGAGCTCCTGGTGGTGGTGGTGCTCGTCATTCCAATCTGCGTGTTCGAGTTCGCGGCGGATCCCGTGCGACGCGGCTTCTTCTGCGACGACGAGAGCATTGCCTATCCGTTCCAGGACAACACCATAACGCCTGTGATGCTCGGCCTGATCGTGGGCCTGCTGCCGGCCCTGGTCCTGGTTGTGGTGGAGTACGTGAGCCACCTGCGCGCCGGAGACATCTCGGCCACGGTGGACCTGCTTGGCTGGAGGGTGTCCACATGGTACGTGGAGCTGGGCCGCCAGTCCACCTACTTCTGCTTTGGCCTGCTGCTCACCTTCGACGCCACCGAGGTGGGCAAGTACACCATCGGGCGCCTGAGACCGCACTTCCTGGCCGTTTGCCAGCCGCAGCTAGCGGGTGTGAGCGTGTGCTCCGATTCGGCCAACCTGCACCGCTACGTGGAGAACTACGAGTGCGCCGGCGAGGGCTTCACCGTGGAGGACGTGCGCCAGGCCCGCCTGAGCTTCCCCAGCGGGCACTCCAGCATGGCCTTCTATGCCATGACCTACGTGGCGCTCTACCTGCAGCGCAAGATCACCTGGCGGGGATCCAGGCTGAGCCGGCACTTTGTGCAGTTCGCGATGCTGATGGTGGCCTGGTACACGGCCCTCAGTCGCGTCATGGACCATTGGCACCACTGGTCCGACGTCCTCTCCGGATCGCTACTTGGCGTGGCCGGCGCCCTAATTACCGCGCACTACGTGGCAAGGATGTTCGACGACCGGGCAAGCCACATTCCAGGCGTGGGTCTGAGGAGGGAAGACACAGCAGTCACGCTCCAGGAGGAGGTCTGCCCCACCACCCCGCCGCCGTACTCGGCGAACAACAGCTTCAGCGAGGATCAGTACTGCTCGAAGGTTTAGGGAGGCTGTAAATTCGAGACATTCCAAAGGTAGCAATAAAGAGTAGTTAAACTTTCAGAACGAATTAAGTCTGCAGTACTTGTGGAGCACTATAGTTAGAGGTCACCCTTATGTATGGCTCATGTGGGCCTGTTCCTGCAATCTCATCTAAGTATAAGTCATAGTATTATTATTTGTATGTATTTTAATTGGTACCACTAAAATAAATACGTATTACGAATTTAAGGCACTGCGTTGATTAAGCGGCTTCTATTGTACGCTTTCTCGCTTATCTGTTCTAAGTACACACTTCATTTAGTATCTCAATTCAATATCACATTTTGATTATCACTTACAGTTGCGGCCACGTAAATAGTAAGGTTTATTTAGCTTTCGGCTTACAAGAACTCTTCAGCGGTTCGATCTTTGGTATTGGAACTTTCCATCTTTCCACGCAATCATTTCAATATGTACATATGGAAAGTGCTTAAAGGCATGAAATGGTTTTTCCACTTTCCGCTCAGTGACTAATTTACATATCTTCCATGTGTATTTTTAATCCATACCTAAGGTCTCGTTTGAAAACATTATTTACGTTACGCACATAATCACCACCAACTCACCAACCCTTTATGACATACATACATTTCTCGACGATAATTATTGCTTACGTAATTGTATAACTATTTATTAGGATTTATAAACGTATTGCTACGCATTTTCCAAGCATAAACATGTGTGTAGTTACTTATGCATGTTTCCTAATAGCCAGCCATGCCTAAACCTAGAAACCCAGAATAATTATTATAGGGTCTTTGGCTAAACTGTACTATTTCTACGAACTCTGTGCACATTTTCGTTTTGGACTCGATTTTCGCACAGTGTGTCATACCTGGCTGCATTGGCTAAAGGCAACGTTTGGAATGTGTGCTGGCCATTACTCATCGGCGTTTTTGAGGATTTTGTGCTGCGTCAGAGGTGCGCGGCACTACGTAAGTCCAAAAGGTCAGCTTCTACCGCAATGCTCCACAACGTTGTCTCCTACATTGTTTTCAATTGGAGAATTGGAGACCTAACCCGTGAATCTGGCGATGTTAATCTGCCTTTAATGAGCATCTGTGAGCGGAAAGGGAGAGCGGGCAGAGAGCGCTTCGGCGGAGCTTTCGCAGAGCTTTCAGGGGCTTTCCCTAACCGCGGCCTGCGTAAGCCCGCGATTTGGGATCCGCAGTAAGCGGGGCCAGACTGGCCAAGGCAGTGGTCATAGCACGCCAGCACGTGCGTGGCAACAGGCTGATAAGACCGCGGAGCAGCAAGATCGCGCGATGTAGAGCACTTTGTTTTTCGACCCGGAGCTTCCGCACGGCGAGAAATACACATTTGCGACGTCAGCGCACGCCCCTTTCTGGCTGGGGGCTAATAATAATACAATCAGCGCAAACGCACGAATTGTTTAATAATAATCCGAGGCGTCCGATCCCGAGATTGCTGGGGGCTGATGACCGAGTTCAAGTCAATTTACTAGTCAGTGACTACTGAGCCGTTGAATCGGTCGCACGGAACGCGGGTCAAGCATTCAAAATGAGCTCCATTTTAAGGCTTCGGCCCAACATGCGCATCTGGGTGGACCTGGTCCTGTTGGCCCTACTAATTGTCCTGGTGGAGAACTTTGGCGCCTTTTGGGGACCCCCGACGAAGCGTGGCTTCTTCTGTGACGACGAGTCCTTGATGTATCCGTACCACGAAAACACAGTGAGCTCCACGCTGCTCCACTGGCTGGGACTGTACCTGCCTCTGATCAGTCTGGTCGTCCTTGAAAGCTTTCTCAGCCACCGGAAGGACATCGTGCCCTGGGCAACACCGTGGCCGGTGTACAACACCGTGCGCTGGTTCC